AGAGAGAGAGAAAAGACATCATGCATCATTAGGCAAATCTGCTGTCAAGGACTTTTTTAAAGTGCTAAAGAGCAAAGGTGTAAATTTAAAGACTAAGATGCACCTGACTCAAGCCATAGCATTTTCAGATGTTTCATATGCACGTGTAAGTTTGACAAGGAAAAAGGAAGACCAAAGAAGAATTGATGTCTTAGAATTGTAGTGTTGGTGAAGAGTATTACCTGTATATATCCTGACCATCAAAAAGACTAACATATCTACCTTGGAGGAAATGTAACCAGGGTGCTCCTTAAAGTCAAGAAGGATGACATTTTTATCCCCAGATTTTTGAGCATGTTGTCAGGAAGGGTCAGTTCTTGGAAAACGACATCACACAGGGAAAACAGGGGAAACAAAAGAGAGGAAACTCAGTCAAACTCAATGAAATGGATTGATGCAGTGACTGCAACATTGGGCTTGAGAATGGTAGAGATGTGAGAATGGCTCAGGATAGGGCATAATTTTGATCTGTTGTTAATAAAATATCTATGAAGCTTAGTCAATGGCACCTAACAACAACAAAAAAAACATCTAGAATGCCTTCTATTAGACCTCATGAATATCTTTTTTCTCCTTTTGAATATTTTCTTTCCTTGAGTCTTGTTTTATTATGTAATTTTCTCTAAAGTGACATTTTAAATTTGAGATCTTTCAACTTATTTTTTTTAGATTTTATTAATTTTAATGAGACTTAGGTTTTCCAGTCATTCATTGTTGCACTTCTCTCCCTGACCACCCCCTCCCCCCAATTCACTCTACTCCTTCAAAAGAAAAAGAAAAACTTTCATTGTTATGCGGTCTCTCCCCCGAAGTCCACTCCACTATGCAGCCTTTATTCTGGACTTCTGTAATGACAAGATTACCCATTCATATATCCCTTTTAAACAGTTCTCTCCTTCATCTGTTTCAATGCAATATACATCATTCCTCCCCTCCTTTTCCATCTTCCCTCAACCCTGATGTCAGTCCCAATTCAACTTAATTTTTAAGAGCTTTACTTTACCCTCTGATTTTTCCCTTTTTTATATCTTTCTGAAGCTATTAATTATATTGTTTCCTGATGTCCTGTATATTTTTCCCCCCACTTTTATCTCTTCTACTTTTATTTAAGTTTGTCTTTTATGTGTGTGTGTTTTTTAAAGTTTATTTATATTTGGGACTAAATCACTGATGGAAATATTAATGTGTACAGATAAGAGTTAGAATTATTTTACTCCTTTTATATTTCTACTTTTTTGTTAAGATCCTTCAGATATTTTAACTATCAGTAAACATTCTTTTTTTTTTGAGTCAGCCAGATTCTCTGGAGAATTTTTTTATGTTACTCTGATTTATTTACAAAGTTTTAATACATTGTTTTTCCACAAAAGATCCTTCTTATTTCCTTTACACCACCCACCCATTGAATTGTGCAACCCTATGATTAACACCCTATTTCCCCCTCTCGGGAGAATTTTTGTGTGGAGTAAGCCTAAGGGACAAAAATAGATTTGAAGAAAGAAAAATAAGATGAACAATAAGACAGAAAAATAAAACAAAGTCAAGGACAAGAGAAAACATAAGCATGCACTTGTTTGTAGTATATATATGTAGAGTAGATAGTATATGTATAGTATATAGAATATATAAATGATAAAATTAGGCTGAATTTTAGCTCTGTTCTTTCAAGCGGGTAGATGAAATAATAATATACAGCAAGATATTTATGATGTTTATTTTTTAAATAAAAAAGTCTCTTAGAAGAATATCTAATAGAATTTTGAGACCTGAGAGACATTTCCTATGGATTAATATAAAACAAATAACAAACCCAAATATAATGGACAGTGTTCTTAATAGCATCCATCTTTTTGTTTGTTTGTTTGCTTGTCTTTTGAGATTTTAATGAAAGTTTATAGAGAACTTGGATTTTCATTCATTTATTGTTGCACATTTCCCCCCCGTCTCCTCTGCTGCTTAGCTCACTTTTCTCTTTGGGGAAAAAAATTCTTTCATTTTTATACAGTAGCCCACACCCAGTCCACTTTACTGTGCAGCTTTTATTTCTGGACTCTTGTTATGCCAATAATACCTAATCATATATTCCTTTTATACAGTTCTCGCCCTTGTCTCTTTCAATGTTGTGTACATTATTTATCCCCTCTTTTCTTAATTTCCCCCTAACCATCATGTCAGTCCTGTTTTATAAGTGGCAATATGCAGTATTTGTCCTCTTGTGACTGAGATATTTCACTCAGCATAATGTCCTCCATGGTCACCCATTTTGCATAATATTTCATGAGTTAATTGTTTTTCAGTACTACATAATATTCCATTGTGTTATGTATGACTGCTTCTCTAGCCATTCATTTGTTGATGGTCACTTGGGTTGTTTCCAGCTCTTTGTTATTGTGAACAAAGCCACAATAAACATGGGTGTGCATATATATCTACTGGGGTGGCAGTTATGTTTCTTTAGGGTATATTCCCAGTAGTGGAATTGCTGGGTCAAATGGTATTTCTATTTCCAACTTTTTGAGAAAGAGCCATACTGCCTTCCAGAGTGGATGCACCATTTTATACTCCCACCAACAGTGAATAAGGGTTCCAGTTTCTTAACAACCTCACCAGCATTTGTTCTTTGCTTCTCTGTTGAATTTTGCTATTGTTTCTGGGGTGAGATGGTATCTCATAGTTGTCATGGTTTGGGATTTTGAACATTTCTTCATGTTCTTGCAGGCCACCTGAATGTCTTTTTTGGTAAAGTGTCTGTTCATATCCTGTGCCTATTTTGCAACTGGGCCATTTACCTTTATCTTGTGGTGCTCCAGTGTGGTTACAATGTAGACATTATAATGTTATTTTTAAAAGAATATGAATTAATGTAAAACCAGTTTGCTTTGTGACATTTCACTCATGTTGTTGGTGGTAGTGTGTGCTGTAGAGTCGGAACCGATCCATAGCTGACCCTCCAGTGAGTTTTTAGAGGCAGTTAATCACACAGGAGATTACCCACCCTTCTAATGCGGAGCAGCTGGTGGATTCGTGCCTTTGGGATTGCAGTGCAGTGTCTTGCCACTAGGCCACCAGAGCTCCCTATTTTACTCATATCACAATAAAAAAAATTAAAGAGATTTATCAATATTGACTTTTGGTAACCTAGTGGTAAGAAGCTACGCTACATTTCAAAAGGCAGTGAGTACAAATTTACCAACTGCTCCACGGGAGAAAGATGAACAATGTCCTCCTATTCAATTTATACCTTCTGAAAATCCACTGGAGGCTCAACTGTGATTTGATTCCAACGTGATGGTACATAAGAACAGCAAAGTTAAATTTGCCAGGAATTCATTC